CGTTCGCGCCATCGCCGCTACCAACCGCTCCATCCTTGGTGCTGATGCTTGCTGCCACTTGCCTCTCCTTAGGCATAGGGACCACTGGGATCTGCCACTCCTCATGAAGGTCCCAAAGAATTCGATCGCCAAGCCTTGCGGTGTAGGTCTTGGCTCCCTTCGAGTTCGTCCATGCCGGCCTTTGCCAACCGCCGCACGGAAATCAGGTTTGCAGCAAGGCTGGGCACCCAAAGCACGTTCTTGAGGCCCACCATCTTCCCATCAGCACCCTTGAACATGGCCTTCCCCATGCCTTTCACCTCTGCTCGCTGTCCCAAAGCCGATGTGACATGCTTCACCGGTGACGGCTCGAGTTCGGTGAGCAAGTCCGGGCGAGGTGTCATGCTATAGGTAGCGCCACTATCAATCACCCAATAGTCCAGGGGGTGTAGGGTCACCTTCCCCATAGCTGCTGGCTCCTCAAAGCCTTCATCCTTCTCTGGACCAGCCGGTACTTGCGTCAACACGAAGTAGAATAGACCCGGGTATCGATCGTCGCTCGGGTCCTTGTCGTTGTCTCCGCTCTTCATGTTTGCAGCTCCGCCACCGCGACCGCCACGGTCTCCACGGCCTCGTCCTCTCCCTCCTCCTGCTCCTCTACCCTCTTGGCCTTGAGCAGGGGTCCAACCATCAGAGAGTTTGTAGCAGTCGCGCCACATGTGTCCGCTCTTGTAGCAATAGTGACACTCGCCGTCGAATCGGCCGCGACCGCGTCCGTAGCTCTTGTCGTCGCTGCCGTAACCGCCACTCCCGCGGCCTCCGCCGAAGTTGCTGCCACCAAACCTTCCTCCCCCTCGTCCTCTACCTCTTCCTCGACCATATCCACGGCCGATGCTCGCTGCCCCAGCGCCATCCGCACTCGCCAACTCACGGCGGCGGAAATCCTCTTGAAGGATAGCTCGCTTCACGTCTTCAAGCGAGAGGCGGGGCAAGTCGCAATTAAGGTTGATGATGAGCAAGGACCATGACTCAGGGAGTAGGGCCAGCAACTTGGTCTTCTTTTGGAGCTCACTATAGTTCAAATCAGCTCCCTCAAGCCGCGTCAACAAGTCGAAGAATTTCTGCACCCCTTCTTCAACCGCTTCATCCTCTTCAATTCGTAGTGTCGCCATTTGCCGTTCCAACACCACAGCTACCGCCGCTGTTGCAGGAGCGTGTACACCCTTGAGAGCAGCCCATGCCTTTGGTCCCTTCTCTCGTTCACGCTGGAAAGGCTTGATGTGACGGATCTGGCTGATCCCCAACGCTTGCCCTAGTAGGAGGTAGCCTTGTGCGCTCTTCCGCACCCACGGGCTCTTCTCCGGGTCGTTCTTTGGGCGCTTCTCCGTTCCTTCCATCACCTCCAGTAGGTCATAGTGATCAAACACGTTCTCCATTCTGAAGGGCCACTCAGCAAAGTTGTCACCGTTGAACTTGTCAAGGCCAAACACTCTAGGCTCGTCCCTAGATGGGCCAACACTTGGTTGCACGGGCGCCATGGCTGAGTCACGGGGTTGGCCTTGAGCTTGGGCTTCTCCACTGCCACCAGCTCCTCTGCCACCCCTTTCCTCAGGTCCAACCATTGTCGAAACTGCTCCAAGGGGCTTTGATACCACTTGTTATAGTCACAGTAGGCTCCAATGTGCCTAAAACGAAAGAAAGAGTGCACAGTCGGATTTCTGCACAGCGGCTTCAAACGTTCATAGCGATCTGCTCACAACTCCAAATGACTTCTTTCAACTTGGATCTGGAGCGCCTTAAAGTTGCCTACAATAGAAAATTTAGATCGCATGCTTTCATTAAGAACTGACGACACAACGTTGGTTTGAACGAACGGCACTATGGCAGCAACATAGTCTTAGAACACAAGATAGGAAGAGTTAGGAAGAGTTACGAGTTGGGAATGACTCCCAGCTCCTACAAACCCCAAGAGCCGAGGTACAGTGATGTGGAACAGTGCCACACTGTCCCCAACAACGAAGGGTCTCGAAACTACCCTTCACTAGGGCCTACACCAAGTGAAATGTTACACTACATAAAGTAATGTAACTATCCTCACGACTTGGCTAGAGCAGCGGAGCTAGCAGTGGCATCCCTACAGGTGAGCAGCTGCTGTTGCGCCTCGTGCTTGTGTTTGTTGATGCTCTGCTGTGTTTTCAATGTTTGTCTAGCTTTTCTGTTTCAACAGCAGAGCTGGCGGTGGCACTGGGCTGTCCATGGCTTTGAGGCAAGCTATATGAGCAGAGTTGGCATTGCCAACCCGTGGCATTGCAACCTTCCTGACCTGATTGCTCCTCTCCTCCCATTCTTTCTCCCTACAGGCTGTGCTCGCACGAACCTTGCAGCACCGCTCTCCACCTCTGGACGGCACCGAGTCCTCTCCCACTCCCCCCACTCCCAAGCGCCTGGAGCTCTGCCTCGTTCAGAGCCGTGATGACTATATAAGCCCGCCTGTTGTGTTACGTGCACAAGCGGTTGAAAGCGGTGTAGATGGTTTGGATGGATTGCAAGTTGGTGAAAGTGCCTTGGTGAGCAGTGACAGTGTAGGGGTGCTGCAGGATAAGGGAGTTGATGCTCAGCTGACAACTGAGAGCTGAGTTGAATGTACTGTAAAAAGAGAACGCTCAACTGTTTTTGGCCGGGTGAGGCACTTTCCTGAGCACAATTAACACCAAGAAAAGGACCAGGCGGGATTCGAACCCACAAGGTATTGCGCTTCAGTATATTGAATGAGAGAGTTATGCTACTGGTCCTGTATTGAATTGAAATTCTCTTTTATTATTCTATTTAACGACAAAGTGATTTTCAAGGTTGGCTGTACTGAGCTCTCTTGTCAAGCATCATGGAGGACGCAGAGCCACTGCGCGCGCTCTCCGCCCACATCGCGTAAAAACGGACCAGGCGGGTATCGCCCTTACTTAGATAGTTTCCCTCAGCTTTCCGCTCTATCGCCGCGTTCCTTCCGTCCCTAGTCCCTCCCCGCGCTGCGCGCGCTCTCCGTCCACAGCGCGTGACGCGGACCGTACTTGTCTCCCGCCGAGTAGCCATGGAGGACGCAGAGGCGCGCCGCTCTCGCCTGCGCAGCATGCGCGAGTCCGCGGCGAAGCAGCAGGCGGCGTCCCCCGGCGCACCCACGCCTTCCGCCGCCCTCTCCGCACTCCCCTCCCCCGACTTCTCTCCGCCGCTTATCCGTACGCATCCGCGCGTGCGCCATCCGGGGAAGGCGGACCTGGGGGAGGTAGATCTGCTAGACGGCCAGCAGGAGCAGCCACCACAGGCTCGGGGAATTTCTCACAGGCCTCATGTAAATATCTTCAAAGCTCTAGCGTGTTTGTCTTAAAGCCCTATCATTCTCAGCTTCCGAGGTACCTGATCTACCCTACTCCCCAGCACCACGAGTGTCAAGTGCTGTCGTTTATGGCTCCCAAGTCATCTCTCCAGCATTTCTCCCAAGTCATTTCTCCAGCATTTCCCTCGCAGCATCCGGACTCAAGCAGACGCCATCAGTGCATGTGACATGCTGCGCGCTGCAGGGCCCAGGAAGGTATGCGAGGCTACAGGGGAGGAAGAACAGTGGGTAGGTAGGTGAGGGGGACTTTCTGGAATCTCAATACTGTTTCGAACAAACGTGTGGCGGTGGATTAGCCTGCTGCTTGATGCTGCGGGTCCCAGAAACGTATTCTGCACGGCTAGGGCCTAGAGGGGACGAAGAACTGTGGGGCAGGAACTTTCGAGAAACTCACACTTTCTGAAGTGTTTTGAATGTAAGTATGATGGTGAATTGGGATGGTTTTGCATGCTCTAGGGCCCAGAAAGGTATCACATTGAGTGGGGTTCAGGTCATCTAAACCTCATGGGGGGTGGGGGTGGGATGGGGGGGGGAGAAGGAGGAGGGGGAGTGGGGGACGGGAGGGGGAGAGAGAAGGGCACTCCATTTGAGGACGGCATGGTGGGCGTGCTGACGTCATGGTTTGCTTGCTTGCTGGCGCTCTGGCGCTGCTGCGAGAGGGGAAGGATAATCCTCGAGTTTCCCTGCTGAATGGATTTACCAGCAAGCAACAGCTCCTCGTAATTCATCAGGTGAGGCACGAGGAGTGGAGGGAGTGTACTTGCTTTGCTTCGAGGAGGGAGGGAGGGTGAAGAAACACCTCTTTCAACTCCACTCAACCGCTGTCACGTACCCCACGACACTCCCATCAGGTGGAGATCACGAGCATGGAGGTGAAAGCCCAGCTGCTGCTGGTGGAGGGGAGATGTCCCATGAAGCATCGCCGCCTCTCTTAAGCCCGCTCAACCCCTGTCAACTGCTTTCAACCCCCCCAAAATATTGTAAACACCCCAAAACACTCCCGTAATGTGGTCATCACGAGCATGGAGGTGGATGGATGGCCGGTTGCTGGGGTGGAGTGGTCCTTGCGGCAACACCCCTCTTAAACCTGCTCAAACCCCTTCAACCACTTTCAACCGCTATCAACCCCTTTCAACTGTTTTCAACCACTCCCATCAGGTGGTGATAACGAGCATGGAGGTGGATGGCCAGTTGCTGGTGGTGGGTAGCGACGCCAGCAGCCCTGCTGTAGAGCAGGTGGGTGCAGCAGAGCAGGTGAGTGGTGCAGCAGAGCAGGTGAGTGATGCAGCAGAGCAGGTGAGTGGTGCAGCAGAGCAGGTGAGTGGTGCAGCAGAGCAGGTGAGTGGTGCAGCAGAGCAGGTGAGTGGTGCAGCAGAGCAGGGCACGGGGTGTGTGGGTGCTGGACTCGCTGCTGATAGCCTGGTGCTGGTGGTGGGGCGTGACGCCAGTAGCCCTGCTGTAGAGCAGATGGGTGAGGTGACAGGGCATGGGGCGTGCCAGTGTGGTGGTCGAGGTGTGCTTTGAGTCGAATCACTCACATGTGGTTGGATATGCTGCCCTGCCGTTGTCACTTTACCCCCCTGCCCTTGTCACTTCACCCCCCTGCGCTTGTCACTTCACCCCCCTGCCCTTGTCACTTCACCCCCCCTGCCCTTGTCACTTCACCCGCCTGCCCTTCCTGCATTGCGTCCTCCTCAGCCTCCTCATCATCCCCCTCACACGCCTCTGTCTCTCCCTCCCTCTCTGCCGCGTGCGTGCCTCTTAGCTCCCTTCCCAGCCCTTCTCCTGATGCCTCCACTGGCGCTTCTCCTCGCTCGTTCTGCAGCCCAAGCGTCAACTCCTCCCTTGCTTCTCCAGCAGAGTTCTTTTTCAAGTTTTCTTCATCCCCTTCCTCCGTTGTCCCGTCTACCAGGTCAATCGTCTTCTCCCCCTCTTCGTCCCTCATCCCCCCTATCTTCTTCCCCTCCCCCCCCCCCTCCTTCTCCTCTTCCGCCTCCTTCTCCCCTTCCCCTGCCTCCGCTTTCGCCTCCTTCTCCCCCTCCCCCCCTTCTTCCTCCTTTTCCTTCTTACCCTGATCCTCCTTCCCCTCCTCATCCCCACTTCGCTCCTCCTTATCCTCTCCCCGCTCATCCCCGCCTTTCCCCCCCTGCGCCTTCCGCCCCTCAAGTCCGCGCAAAGACTTCCCCACTCCGCGCACCTTGGCGCGGATGGACTCCGCATGGGCTGACGTGCTGCTGCCGGAAGGGGAAGCAGGAACAAGGAAAGCAGGAAAGGGGACAAGGAGGGAGCGGGGGAGCGTGGGGGAAGGAGGGGGGGGGGGGGGGAAGTTGAGGGGGGTGGGAGAGGGAGGAGGGGGGGAAGAGGATGGTAGAAGGTGAGGGGGTTAGGGTGGGGGGCCTGATGGGCTCTGCAAGGGCTCATGGCAGGGCCCCCAATTTATGGTTGGAAGGGAAACGGGGGACGATGGGGTTGAGTCCATGCATTTTGCCTCTTCACTCGCCTCACGATTACCGCAGATGGTGTCTCCATGGTTCGAAAGCACGACATCTGCGACGCATGTGAGACGTGCGCGACACGTGGGCGACGTGTGCGACACATGCGAAACATGTGCGACTCTCACCATCACCATCGGTTCGGAAGAAGACCCATCCGCCATGCGAGCTCGCTTGCGCCCTGTCGTACCGCGTCGCGACGCCGCCGCGCCGCTCTCCCACTCCGTCCTTATCGCGCCCGCCAGTGCGGAAATAACCTCAACCTTCTTCTTAATCCATTCCTCCAATTCCGCCATCGCCCTCTCGATTCCGTTCTTATCTTCGTCAGGGCTCCTCGCCCCCGCTACCACAGTCGCGTCCACGTTCTCTCGCATATTCGACTCGCCACTCTCGCCCCGTAATTCCATTCTGCCTGTTCCGCCGCCCATGGATTGCATCCGTCGCATTTATCGCGTCTCGCGCGTCTCTCTCATTTCTCACGGTTCGCGCATTCGTCGCATTTAGCACCTTTGCTGTCAATCTTCGCTGGCGGGTCACGGAGCGGTGACCAGCTCGCGACATCGTCAAAACTCTACGAAGCGGCGGAGTTACGGCGGACAGTAGTCAATAAAACAGCAGAGGTAGCGATGGAGGCTGTGTCGACACCTCCAGGCAGTATCACGCTGATGGTCAGCTGCGATATAAATCAAATGGTAGCTCACGTTGCCAGCGGTCAACATGGAGGGGTAAAAGACTTCGCTTGCAACCGCAAACAGGAGGGGAAATGAGGTGCTGGAGTGGTAGTGGCAAGGTTAGTGAAGGTGGTATTCACGAATAGGATCGAAACCAAGTTCAGGGACGACTCTGGCTAGGGAAACCAAATTCGAATCGGCGGGTTCTCATCGTTACGAGTTGACGAATTGTTCTTGAGAAAATCTCGAAAGTAGAAACTCCTTGCCAGTTCAAACACGCGACGATTTTGAAATTGGATGTGACGGTCCTAAGTGAGGACGATTCGTCTCGTGATCTGTACCGCTGGTAGGGTCTCTCCGTGTATACCATTTTTCAGATAAACACACCTTCTCATGACTTTGCCGAATCGCAATTCCAACGAGAGTTGGAGTTCGAAATTCAAAATTTCGTGTCCTCACTTTTGTGTCCCTTTACCCCTTCCTATAGTACTCTAGAGCTCACGCATTTGCTAAAACCAGCTGAATGTATACCAACAGGACAAATCCGATAGGGCGTAATTATTCTGCACAAGATTAATGAGCAGGTGGTGGGGAGGTTGAACCCGTGTGAAGCTGATTTTGATGAGGACCTGCAGTGCTGGGGGAATATCTTTTTTAGGCGCTTAAAAAATCGCCTGTGAGTAGGAGATGGAGGCTGAACTACCGTGCGAAGGAGACTTGATGAGGACGTACCTTATCGTACAAGGGAGCATGGAGCTGTATTGCAAGCAGCTAGCCTCATCTTCAAAACTGATTTACTCACAATACACGAGAACCATTCAGCAGCATCTTAGGGTAAAAATACTAGTGTTCCATATAAAAGCCCATAGGCTATAACAACAGCATCCCTGCTTGCCAATCGCATCTGTAACCAAAGCCCCATGCTAGCCACCCTTCAGTAGCCCACGGAAGCCCAGCCATACTTCTGCAGCTCCACCCGCAGGGTCTGCATGTGGTGGGCATGGTGATATGAGAAAGAGGCAGGGAGGTATGGGAGAGGGCAGAGGGGCAGGGAGAGTTGGGAGAGGAGAGGGCAGGGAGAGATGGGAGAGGGGCAGGGATGGTAATGAACGCTCGTGGGGAAGGAGAGGAGTGGTCGAGAGGCACGAGTCAATCTACTTAGACGTAGAATGGGCTTCATGGGCTCATTGAAGCCCACCCACCCCCACTAATGCGGCTCCTCCCCAGAACTTGGGGGGATGCATGAAATGGCAGTGGAAGGAGAAATCAATAGGAGTGGCAAGAACGAGCTGGTCTACTTAGATGTAGTGTGGTCCATTGCAGCCCACCCTGGACACCCACACTTCTGCATCTCCTCCCAGAGCTCGGGGATGTATGAAATGGCAATGGAAGGAGAAATCAGTAGGAGGGTGCACTGCTTAGTGGGAATATACGCGTGTAGCGTACATACGCGTATCGTATATACGCTAACGTATGTACGCTAAACGCTCAAAGGTCGATTTGGTAATACGCTTTTTCAGGCAGGTAAAAAACTATCCCGGGCAGGGTGAAAAAAAACGTCGTGCACAAGATTGGGAAGGTGTTCCCTATTCTCACTAAGACTTTTGTAACATTTCCCTAAGTCTGAGCAGCGATTGGGGTGGGATGTGGAGTAGACACTAGGAGAAGTAGGTAGGAATCGGAAGGAGTTATGCTGTTAGGAAGCGGGAATGTCAACAAGAAATGACGACTGGAATTTTGCTGGCTGGTAAGTAGCGTCAGTGGGGTTTGATGGGGGACGTTCTTGACAGGTTGGAGTTCGTAGATAAGATGGGTTTCAATGCGGTACTAATCTAATGTTCAATTTTGAACTGCCTGCAATACTTCGAAGGCACATTCCCGCTTCCCTAGACCGTCGAATTGCATTTCGACTTAGGCGAAAAGCTCAGCAGAAAAATCCGCATCTTTCTGTATACAAGCGATTTTTTTCCTGGGCAGCCCGAAAAACTTTCTGATAGCGTATAGTGTATTAGCTAGCGCATTGCGTTTTGCGTACACACGCTAGCGTATATACGCTATACGCTTTAGGGTTTGAGCGTATATTCCCACTAAGGTGCACTGTGCACAGGGAGGCACAGGAGCATAGCACCCTCCTAGCAAAGGGCTTGGCACAGGAGGATGCATCACTCCTTGGAGGAGAAACCAATAGGAGGGTGCACAGGGAGGTATGGGAGCATCGCCAAGGGAGGGGAGGCACATCATTTTGCTGCCGTGCCCTGCACACCACCGTACAGCCCAAGCCCATCCCCTATCATCCCTCCCATCCCTCTCCCCCTCCCCCCCAACCCTCACACCTTGGCGCGCTTGCAATTCGCGTCAAGGTCGCTCTCCCCCAGCCTCAACTGTCCATTCACCTTCTCTCCCTTACCAAACCCCTCTCCCCCTTCACCCCTCCCAACCCCCCCTCACACCTTGATGCGCTTGCGATTGGCGTCCAGGTCGCTCTCTCCCAGCCGGAAAGCTCTGCGGCACTCCACCAGGGAGCGGCACGGAGGGAATCACAACTCCCTGGCCAGCCCACCCAATTCACCTCCCACCCACCCAAGACCAATCTCCCCACCACTTGCCCCCCCTCCCCATCTTCACCATCGCACCTTGATGCGCTTGCGGTTGGCATCAAGGTCGCTCTCCCCAATCCGCGACGCACTGCGGTACTCCACCAGGGAGCGGCTGCCCGGAGCGAACCAGAACTCCACATCATCCACGTACTGGGGGGGATAAAGAGTGCGGGTGCGTGAGAGAGCAACAGTGGGTTAAGGGGGAAGGGGGTGAGCAGACAGGTGAGACCTTGGCAGCAGCAGCTGCAGTAGTCCACCAGGGAGCGGCTGCTTGGGGGGAACCAGAAATCCACATTGTCCACGTTCTGGGGGGGAGGAAAGGAGGGATGGGGAGGGGGGGGCGAGGAAGGAAGGAGGGGGTTCAGGGGGAACGGGTTGAGCAGGCAGGGTGAGACGGGACGGGATCTTTCGTACTATGAAAACTCTCTCTCAAAAAAAAAAAAAAAAAAAAAAAAAAAAAACGGTGAGATGGGACCTTGGCAGCAGCAGCCAGCTACAGTACTCCACCAGAGCACCGGTGCCGGGAGAGGGGGGGCTGTGTCATCCACGTACTGGGGAGGAGGGGAAGTGGGGAAGTGGGGAGGAGGGGAAGTGGGGAAGTGGGGAGGAGGGGAAGTGGGGAAGTGGGGAAGTGGAGGGGATTGCCGGGGCGAGTGGCGGGTGTGGATGATGGTCGCACGTGCACGAGACAGCATTGCACTGAAACAGACACCCTTCATTCATACCATTGCTGCTCTTATCCACTCATGGGGGTGAGTTCCATCCAAGCCACTCCCCCCATGAACGCCACTCACCCCCATGAGCGGAAAATCATGCACATGCCACCCATCCCACTCACATGCCATGCCACCCATCCCACTCACCACTCACATACCACCCATCCCACTCACCCCCATGAGCGGGCTCTCGTATTCCACGTAGAGATAGTCGGGGCGGCGAGTGATGATGGTGGGTGTGAAGCCATCGGGCTTGGTGGATGTCACCTGGGGAGAGGGGGAGGGGGACAAGGGGTGTGTGTGTGGGGCGAGTAAGGGGGGTGTGAGACGGGTTAAGGGCGTGTGCTGCGAGTGATGATGGTTAAGGACGTGAAGCTGCCGGCCTGAGTGGAATGCGAGCAGGGGGGGGGGGAAAGAAAAGGAGGATGGAGGGGTGGCGGGTGGGAAGGGGTGTTGGGGCAGAAGGGGTGTGGGGGAAAAGGGAAGTTTGGGAAGGAAGGTTTTGGAAAAAAAGGAACGGGCGTCGATTCAAGTGGTAAGAGTAATCGAGGGCGTGAAACTGGAAAAAAGCGGGACAGAGCGGGGAAAATTCAATGGCAGGGGAGAGATGCGAGGTGGGAGGGAAGGCAGGTTGAGTAGCGAGCAACGAGTGGGAGAAGAACAGGGAACACAAACGAGCGGCAGTGGGGACGAGTGGGGAGGGGAACAATCGTTAATCCGTCCCACGTTCTCTTTCCTCCTCATTGGCTCTCGCCCTTATTATCCCACCATCCCCTCCTCTCCAGCGCATTGAGGTGAATTTTGAGGCGCCTCAAAATTCACCCTTATTATCCCACCATCCCGCCCACTCCCGATAATCCCCCTCCCTCCCTCTCCCAAATCCCCCCAAGCTCGTTCTTTCTCCCGATTCTCCCCTACACCTCGTGCACTTCCCCCTTTCGTTCCCACGTCTGCTCCATCCCCTCCTCTCCAGCGCTCAGGCCCCCCACCACCATCTCTCCACTCACCCCTCTCCACCACTCACCACCGCCACGAGCTCCTCCATTGCCTGCTCCTGCGAGGCGGGGTTCTTCCTGCCGCGCCCCTCCTCGGGGTTGTACGTCCTGTTGGGAGAGGGGGCAGACAGGCACGGAAAAAGACAGGAGAAAGAGGGAGGACCAGGGAGCAGGATTTGGGGAATGCACGTCCACACGGCGCCCCTCATCAGGGTTGTACGTCCTAATAGGGAGAGGCGGCAGAGAGGCATGGCAGAGAGGCACGGCAGAGAGGCACGGCAGAGAGGCACGGCAGAGAGGCACGGCAGAGAGGCACGGCAGAGAGGCATGGCAGAGAGGCACGGCAGAGAGGCACGGCAGAGAGGCATGGCAGAGAGGCACGGCGGAGAGGCACGGCAGAGAGGCACGTCAGAGAGGCACGGCAGAGAGGCACGGCAGAGAGGCACGGCAGAGAGGCACGGCAGAGAGGCACGGCAGAGAGGCACGGCAGAGAGGCACGGCAGAGAGGCACGGCAGAGAGGCATGAAGAGAGGCACGGCAGAGAGGCACGGCAGAGAGGCATGGCAGAGAGGCACGGCAGAGAGGCACGGCAGAGAGGCACGGCAGAGAGGCATGGCAGAGATGCATGGCAGAGAGGCACGGCAGAGATGCATGGCAGAGAGGCACGGCAGAGAGGCACGGCAGAGAGGCACGGCAGAGAGGCACGGCAGAGAGGCATGAAGAGAGGCACGGCAGAGAGGCACGGCAGAGAGGCACGTCAGAGAGGCATGGCGGAGAGGCACGGCATGAGGCATGGCAGAGAGGCACTGCAGACGACGGGAGAAGACAGGAGAATACGGGAGAACGATGGCAGGGGGGGGCACATAGGGGAATGCACGCCCTGTCAGGGCACGGCAGAGAGGCACGGCAGAGAGGCACGGCAGAGAGGCACGGCAGAGAGGCATGGCAGAGAGGCACGGCAGAGAGGCACGGCAGAGAGGCACGGCAGAGAGGCACGGCAGAGAGGCACGGCAGAGAGGCATGGCAGAGAGGTACGGCAGAGAGGCACGGCAGAGAGGCATGGCAGAGAGGCACGGCGGAGAGGCACGGCAGAGAGGCACGTCAGAGAGGCACGGCAGAGAGGCACGGCAGAGAGGCACGGCAGAGAGGCACGGCAGAGAGGCACGGCAGAGAGGCACGGCAGAGAGGCACGGCAGAGAGGCATGAAGAGAGGCACGGCAGAGAGGCACGGCAGAGAGGCATGGCAGAGAGGCACGGCAGAGAGGCACGGCAGAGAGGCACGGCAGAGAGGCATGGCAGAGATGCATGGCAGAGAGGCACGGCAGAGATGCATGGCAGAGAGGCACGGCAGAGAGGCACGACAGAGAGGCACGGCAGAGAGGCACGGCAGAGAGGCATGAAGAGAGGCACGGCAGAGAGGCACGGCAGAGAGGCACGTCAGAGAGGCATGGCGGAGAGGCACGGCATGAGGCATGGCAGAGAGGCACTGCAGACGACGGGAGAAGACAGGAGAATACGGGAGAACGATGGCAGGGGGGGGCACATAGGGGAATGCCCCCCCCACCCCCCTCTCTTGTGGTTGTACGTGCAGTCGGCGAGCAGCAAAAGGAGATGAGGGGTGCAATGCGAGCGACAGAAGAAAGAGAAGAAAGAGAAAAGTAGGTGCCTGAAAACGAGTGCCACGGCGCTTCAAATAGCGACGCAAGCACCGACGGGCACTGCCACTGGCACCGACGGGCTCTGCCACTGGCACCGACGGGCTCTGCCACTGGCACCGACGGGCTCTGCCACTGGCACCGACGGGCTCTGCCACTGGCACCGACGGGCTCTGCCACTGGCACCGACGGGCACTCCCACTGGCACCGACGGGCA